GCAGAACATATTGTAAGGAAAGCAGGCTTGGACACAGAAGAAGGAGAATTTTGCAATTCCCTCCTGAAGGTCTCTCCTCCAACGACTATCTAGGATCGACCCACTTACTTACCCAAATCAGAGAAGATCAGGAATAGATGGATAGGGAAGCTGGTTTCCTATGCCACCTTCCCTCTTGCCTTTTGACCGCCAGCAAGAAAGTGGCATGGATGTGTCTTCCTTGATGGGACAAACTGTCCCTTGAGCCAAAGAGCCCTGGGTGCCCTTCGTGGCCCCAACAACCAGAAGGCCAGACTTCCTATTCCTTGGGAGCCAAAGGGCTACTACTACCATCCCTTCTCTTCCGCCTCCAGGAAGAACCGGCTGAGAACAAAACTCCCGGGGATGATCCTGCTGAGGACAGGCTGTCATGCCCATCGCCCTTTGGCACATTGCCCATGCGTGGGTGCCCAGAGAGCAGACAAACACGTTTGACTCCTTGGCTCAAGGGTGCTGTGTATGGAAAGGGACATGGCTGGTAGCCAAAGCCCCATCCAGCTGACAAATGTGGGTGTCATTTTCTGGATTGGCCAAGATCCCATTCATGTGGCAGGAGGTTCCTCTGGCACAACATGGTGAGAGCAGTAGGGCTGGGTCAGAGAGCTACCGACCTTATGTTCATTCTTTGTCACCCTGCCTGAAATTAGTAGGTTTCCTGAGTAATTACCTGCATGCTACTGGGATAGTTCAGTCCTTTTTTGTCACCTTTCCTGAAAGTAGTGAATAAACTGGGGAGGCCAAAATAAGGGTCTGGTTTTAAAGTTCGTACTAAACCTCAGATTGGGTTCATCACACTCACAGACATAGGAACCATGAGCTACCGACCTTATGGTAGATGAGCCATTCTTTGTCACCTTACCTGAACGTTTTCAGTTCAGACTGGACCAAAATCCTACATTTATGCACCGTGAGGAATTATGCATTCATTGCACAATGCAACATTGAAGGGCAACCAAACCAAATGTGCAATAACGCTGCCAGTTTGAGGAAGTTCTTGCAGCCAGGTCTGGGGTGAAGCATTGCCTTGTTTGCAATGCCCTCCAAGCGCAGCAGGTGAGTTTCTCAGGCCGAGCCCAGAGGGGACTTTGGGACCCTCACCTCTGACCCTTTGCTCCTTTCCATTCCCACCACAGATGACCCTCTGACCTTGCAAAGGCATCCTTCTTATGCCATGAGTGCATGGAAAGTTTGGGGATTTTGAGGATTCTGAGCACAGCCTCGTCCCACTCAGTTTCCTCTTTGGCACAAGGGCCTTTGCTTTGCTGGGAAGGAGCAGCCAAGGCCGGTTCGAAGGCGGGGGAGAGAAAGAACAAGGGGAACATTGAAGGGAATCCATTAAAAGTAGGGCCAGAGCGAGACGGGTTGCCTCTGAAACCAAGTCTGATGCTTCTTGGCATTGGCTGCCCCCAAAATACTCACCAAGAACGGGGAACTAAACCCACTCCCTGGACCCCATTGGAAACAAATCCACTCTGGTAGGAAACAAGTTTAGATGGGAGATGGGACTCACCAAATGTGCTCTTCTTCTGGGTCTCGGCCGTTCGGGTGTTGCATTTGTCTGCCAATCCTCGAGGCGGCTTAAATATTTCCAGTGGGCAGGGATGTGCCAACGGGGCTATTTGGCAGCAAGAAGTGTGAAAGGGGGAAATTTATAGGCAGAGAGCTATTCAATCCCTTTGGCCTCTGGTTACTGTTTGAGCCCTGGATGCCTCCTTGCGAGAGGGAGTTTGGCCTGGCTGCCTTATCAGGGATTTGGGGGGTCAAATTCCAAAGGGTATCCTCCTCCTCCTCCCCATGGCAGGAAAGAAAGACAGAGAGAGAGGGGGGAATGGGATATGAGTCAGGAACCATCTGCCACCAAAGCTGCATCGTTCTTCTTGTGTGCCTTCAAGTCGTTTCCAACCTTTGGCAACCCTGTCATAGGATTTTCTTGGCAACATTTGTTCGGAGGAGGTTTGCCATTGCCTTCCCCTGAGGCTGAGAGAGTGTGACTTGTCTAAGGTCATCCAGTGGGTTTCATGAAACCCAGTGGGAATCAAATCCAGAGCTGTAGTCCAACACTCAAACCATTACACCGCACTGGCTTTTGTGCATTACTCTGGACATAAAGGGGCATTTCCAAACAGCCTATTTGCAGACCCTCGAAGTCTCACAGTTGGCAAAGGGGTCAGGCAAGGCTGCATCCTTTCACCCGATCTTCTCAACTTGTATGCAGAACATATTCTACGAAAAGCAGGCTTGGACACAGTAACAGGTGGAGTGAAAACAGAAAAAAGGAACACCAACAATCTAAGATACGCAGACGGCAAGATACTATTAGCAGAAAACATTGCAGACCTAGAGCAACTACCAAGGAAGGTCAAAGAAGAAAATGCAAAGACAGGCTTGTATTACTGAGCATAAAGAAAACAAAAATAATGACCATGGAGGACCTTCACAAGTTCAACCTAGACAACAAGGAAACAGAAATAGTAAGAGAGTTCCTATACTTTGGATCAAACATTGATCAGAATGGGAATTTCAGTCAATAAATCAGAAGAAGACTAAGAATGGGGAGGGCAGCTATGAAAGAACTAGAAAACCTTCTCAAGAACAAAGATATACAACTGAGCACAAAAGTCAGAATCGTACCAACAATGCTAAAGTTGCTTTAAAAAATTCCAGCTAGACAGAGGACAAGGAGGAAAAGAAGGCTGTCTGGGCGCAGAAAGCCTTTGGCAAAAGCAGCTTCGCTGTCAAAGGCTTTGCCAACCGAGGCATGTCTGTATTCAAAAGTAGAGTTGTTTTATTTACATCCTGTTGGAAGCTGCTCCTGGAACTTTGAACTGGACACCAAGCGCAGAAGTAACACAAATAAAGAGATAAATTGTGCATGGAGTGTCACATCCAACTTTCTTTTCTGCAGAAACCAGCTGTAATGATGGGAGCCAAGCTGGAGGGCCATGGAGTGAGGCTGCAAATTCCACACATTCCTCCCCTCTCATTGTCTTCCCAAAAATGCTTCAGCCGGTCTGGATTTGTCTATCTTGGCACAGGGATTTTCTTCATGTGATCAGCCACGTGTGTGTGTGTGTCTGTGAACACACATGCACCCACAAACACAAAGAAATCTGTTGCATTTGCATTGCATTGCATTTCTGTACAGAAATATCCATTTCATAACCCCTGAACTGCTCAGGAGAAGGAAGAAGGCAAGAAAAGTCTTTTTACTTTCACTAACCAACTCTTTCAGGGGGAAAGTCTTTTTAATAAGGTTATTATTGGTATTTACTGCTTCTTATTGGATCTATTGTTAAAATGTTTTGATAATTTTATATTTCTTAGTTCTGTTTGTTAATCACTTCTATATATATATATGTGTGTGTGTGTGTGTGTGTGTGTGTGTGTGTGTGTGTGTGTGTACTGATAGCATCTTTCTGAATCCTCAGCTTCTCAGATTCATTGGTGGCCTTCCATCCAAGTACTCACCAGGGCTCACCCTGTTTTGCTTCCATGATCAGACAGCATCTTCTGCCTTTGGGGTATTTAGTCCCTCTGCTAAATAATAATAATAATAATAATAATAATAATAATAATAATAATAATAATAATAATAATAAGCCAGACCTGTGGCCACTGGGCATCCTGGACCCCCGGTCTGTCTCCCCGCGGGCATTCTTCCTCCTTGTTACAGCATCGGTCAGCAGGGCCAGTGAGTGACCAGCCTTGACAGCCCCACCCCACTCTTAGCCCTGCATGGCCCAAGACAAAGTGAGGCTTATGCCAGGCCTGGGCTATCTGCCCAAGATGACCTCAGGCCATCACATGCACCCGCCTGCAAACATCACCCTTCCCTTGGTCTCCTCTCCATCATCCTCCAGGGAAGGAGGGCTGGGGTGTCGGTCACTAGGGATGCCCTGCGGGTATGGACCGCATTGGTGGGAAGGGGTTGCCTTCCCGGGCTGGCTGCTGGCCAGTCTGCTGGCCAGATAGGAAAGCAAGTCTCCTTCCTTCCTTTGCTGCCCGGCCAGCAGCTCTACCAGACCTGGAAAGGCTGCAGGGTGGCACCAGGAGCCCTCTTGCACCCGTGGCTCCAGCTAGGACCGAGAGCCTCCAATGGTTGGAGGCTTTGCAGGCAGTTGGTAAAGAGAGTCCCCTCCACCAGACTCAGTAAAGGCTCTTGAAGAAGGGATGTGCGCATTAGAAATGACCCACACCGGGTGTCAAATAAACTAGGTGTGCCACTGTCCTTGCAAACTTGGCTGAATGCAAAACAGGGTGAGTTTTGCACAGGGCACCCCACTGAACTTGTAGGGAGGGCAGAGTTCAGAGGCAGAACAGTAAAGAAAATGCAGCAAGAGTTTCCTCCCAGAGAGCCAAGCCCAGGCGAGTAGTGAATGCCTGCGCCTCTCCATTGAGAAATCAGCTTTATTCCTTTCCCTTTTGACAGTCAATGAGAGGGAGATGGGGCCGGTCCACAGTTAATGATGGC